GCTGCCCCCGCCGTGGCGCCGCCGATCGAGAGGCCCTCGGCGGGCAAGCAGCTGCCCAGCGCCAGGAGGAGAAACAGGCCTGCCCACCCGCGGGCCTTCGAGGAGAAACCGAGGCGGGGTGCCATTKGTGTGATGTGTTGCGGTGTGCTGTGCTGTGGTGTGCTGTGGTTTTTTATCGTGTGTTGTGGTGTGGTGCCGTTGTTTTTTTGCCGTTGCCGTTGTTGCTATTGTTGTTGCTGCTAGCGATGCGATCGATTGTCGTCTGCCTTCTCTGCCGTATCACGTAAAGCGATTGCGTTGCAACACCGTGTTGGATTTGCCAACAACCGATCGATCGATCGACGAATGCTGCCTTATTTCGTTTTGTTGTTGTTGACGATTGTAACGACGATGAGTTGTTCCTCATCAATTCAGATGTTTGGGTTTCAGATGTTGTTCGAAGTATGGCAAGATCTAAGATCACCTCCTATTATTGTGGGACGGAGGTAGTATTTTCACAACTGTGCGTACGTACGTACGTACGTACGTACGTACTGTATTTTGTACTTCTAGAAGTATTTTAGTATTAGATCCCTTCCCACCACAGGAACTATGGTAGTACCCCTCTTCTCGTACCCTGTGCTGTACCATGGTGAAGGCTAGAGGCCGGCTACCAGTTACTGTACTTCGTAATCGGTAATAAAATTACACCTAGAATTAACGCAAAATTTGGCCATCCACTTGTATGACTTTGACAGCTAGTTCTAAGCCAATAGAGCATCCTTTGGCTTCCCAATGACCTGGATCTCTAAGTATTTGTATTAACATGGTCTGGGTGCTTAGTCTGGTGATCTAAAGTCTCTTGGACATAACTTCTCAACCAAAATCTGCCTGATGGTGGTTCTTTCTTCTGTACCCCTCAATTTGATAGTGCTCTTTTGATTTGGCTACTCAGAATTGTCGAGGGAGCTCTCCTTATAGCTGTTTCTCAAGCCACTACAGCGTGTTGTTGTTCTTCTAAAATTCCTTGCTCCATACTAGGTCCTGTTTCGAAAATTTATTTGGCACCAAATACAACTCCTTAGACAAAGCCAACACATGGGTGTATTAATTGAATAATGTTCTTTCCACTTGTCCAATTCTCATAAAGATCTGACACTTGTTTGTAAAGATACAACTGTCCCCCCGGGTATTGTTGAAAAGTAACAAATTTGGGTCGTTTCAGCTAAGTGAGATTAGAAGCAATACAAATGACATTCAATGACCTTATTAAGCAGACAAAGAGCTTTGTAATGGTACCCTTCTTGTGTTCATAGGTGCTCTGGTTGTTAAGTTATCAGTCTCACCATGGTGAAGATATTGTTTTATTGATAATTCAGCAATAATTTGACAAAATCAGTTTGAGCAAAATTACTTTTTTCCATGTAGTAGTGCACGGTATGCTTTTTATGGTTAACACATATTATATCAAATTAACTGGTAGCCCCTTTTTGTTGATTCAATAGCTACGGTACAAAACCATAAAGAATYGGTGATATTCCTGTTGGTTACTGTAGATAAATAAAAATAAAGAATGAGCACAGTGATGTAGCCACCACATCTCATTTGGTTTGGGCCATCTGTTGCTCATCTGCTGTGAACATCCTTAATTCAGATTGGAAGTTGGACACTTATTGGTGTTTACGACCATGTGATTGTTGGATTTAGATAAAAAGGGATGATGACACTGACATGTTGTGGTCGCAAATTCCATGGGTCAAACAACATTCCACCTGTAGGTGCAGCATATATGTAAATCATGTAAAGGGTCATTAAAACGAGAACTGGRACTTTCAGCATGAAAATAATTTGAACTGGAACTTTTTTCGAAGGCTGTTGTAAAATTATTAAAAATCATACCGTCCCCTAATATAAACTTACTTACAACAACTTTTCCTAATTTCTTGTTTTCTTACGGCAGCTTCGGCAGCTCAAATTCACCAAAATAAACAGTAATTTCATTCCTTCAGCACGGGCGCTTGGCCGGCAGCTCAAATTCACTAAAATAAACAGTAATKTCATTCCTTCAGCACGGGCGCTTGGCCGGCAGCTCAAATTCACCAAAATAAACAGTAATTTCATTCCTTCAGCGGTACGTAGGGCAGCTTCGGCAGCTCAAATTCAAGTATTTTCATTCGCTAGTAGGAGCCTGTGCTGAAATTACTGTTTATTTTGGTCAAGTGAAGCTGCCGCAAGACTGGAGCGAATGAAAATACTTAATGGTCCAGTTATTTTGCCAGCGCCCGTGCTGAAGGAATGAAATTTCTGTTTCTTTTGGTGAATTTGAGCTGCCGGCCAAATAAATTAGGAAAAGTTGTTGTAAGTAAGTTTATATTAGGGGACGGTATGATTTTTAATAATTTTACAATAGCCTTCRAAAAAAGTTMCAGTTCMAATTATTTTCATGCTGAAAGTTCCAGTTCTCGTTTTAAACACCAAAGGATGTATTAATGCTCGCGGCTTGGTCATTTATCGGATATGCTCATGCCGATGTATTTTAATACTTTTCGTTGAATTCTCGCATTATTGTCCTTCTGGAAGCCTCCTTAATCAAACGCGTGTTCGCATTGCCGTGATAACTAAAATCGATGTCTACGATTTCGACCTCCCGAGTGCCCCATACGTCCAACTGGAAGCGGTTAGAAACCCGCATGTTGGACATGAACCGGGTTGCATTGATCTTGGACATGCTTCCATGTTCCTGCAGCAATGAGATGCATTTCTCGCTGCAAGCTTTCGCCATGTTGACGTCTCCGCAAATGTAAAGGTGTGTTTTCGGCTCGGAAGTCATCAGTGCAAAAAGCTCCGCGCCACGATCCTCCATAGCATCGTGGACGTACCGATTGGGACAATGAATTCCTGGCTCTCTGCTGTAGGCAATGTGGAGCTTGGCTACTCCGCTCGATTCCCATTCAAGAAGCTGGTCCTTGTACAGCATTTCACCCTCGGATCTGCATCCAAAAAATAGATGACACTTTCCAAAYATGCCACGTCTCGATGCGCCAGCCTTTTTCATCGCCAGGGATCGATCACGCAAAAATCCCATGAAGGGAGCTAGGCCGGTGCCTGCTCCAATCATGATCAGAGGGCTCTTGATCGACCGAGGAGCCCGAAAGGGGCTCTTAACCACGCTCGCATTGATCATCTGTCCTGGCTCGAGACCGGCGAGGTCGTGCGAACACACGCCTTCCACAAGGACACCTCTGGAGGTTTCGAATTTGACCACTCCAACGGTTATGGAGACCTTGTTTGGAGAGGTTAGAGCAGAGGAAGAAATAGAATATTGGCGGGGACCGAGGCGAGGCATGATGACGAGAACGTCGGCAAGACCGAGAAGGGGATTTTTCCTTGTTTCCAAGGGTTTGCAAAAAAGGTCATTGAATTTCTCTAGGAAGTGCACGATGGTAGGATAGGTTGCCTTGATGTTGTTGATCATGCCACTATCTCCCTCCTCATTGCATTGTTGAACTGCATCTTTAGCCATGGTTTGAAAGTCACTAGCGCAACAAAGGGTCAAGGAGGCCTCCTCAAGCTTGGAGTTCAACATTTGTAGAAACTCCACCAAATAAGATTCCGACGATAGTGATAAATCAAGTGAAAATTGAAGAACGTCGGCTAAGTTGTTGTTGGTCAAGTGCTTTGCATTACACGGCGTTGTACCCTGATCCTCGACGCTTTCAATGTAAAACGGCTGATGAGTCTGCCACAATACAGACGGTGTGCAATTCATCCGAGCACTAGTCTTTTGAAGAAATTTCTTCCGGCTTGCCTTCAGCTTCAATCTATGGAATCCCGATGATTCTGCTGCTTTCTCGAGCTCTGGAGCAAAGCAATTGCAGAAACGTGATACCATGTCCATTGAATTGATCGGAACAACAGAAAGATGGTCACCGGTCTCGTATGCGATATCAGTTTTGTCGATCTGCTCCAGCTCAATGTGGCGAGTTGATCGCAAGGGATCGCTACCTTCGAAGAGATCTTGATTTTTTCTGCATTTCATTGTGCCCGTGCGCAATCTGTGCTTTGAGTACTCCTCATCGTATTCGTCTTTCGCCAGCCATCTGATGCGGTATTCAGCAGCTTTAGTATCTTCGACCGGAATTCCACTAGATTCGAGTTCCACGAGCAATGAATTTGGAAGGAGAAGTTTCTTCAAGAAGATAGACCAATTGTAGATATCGGACTGGTTGCCCTTTGCGGCGTCAGCACATACAATATTCATGATGGAATTCGCTCCAGCGGCTTCCATCTGCGAATCAATTCCTTTCCCAGCTTTGCAGAAGTCTGGGTACAAACTAGACCCCAATGCAAGCACGGCATACTTCACACCCGTGACTTTCCCCGCCAGTTCTGCATTGGCAAACTTCTTTGCGTTCAAAGGCGGCTCACCAGCACCGAATGTTGAACATATGATGAGAATGTGTGAAAACTTTCCAAGTTCTTGATTGTATTCTAGAGCTCCGTTGAGGGTTAGTACAGTTGGACGACAAAACTTTAAGGTCCTGGCGAGACTGTTGGCGACTGCTTCGGCCTTGCCTGTCTCGGAGCCGTATGCAATCAACACCTCGGGCATCGACACTTTCTGCGAGAAGTCATCCTCCGACAAAATATGACCGGTAGTATCTATAGCTTTCGTTCCACTGACTCCGTCGATGTCAAGGACTCGCCAAGGATCACAGCAATATTCAAATTGAGGGACTACTCGGAAATCTCGCATCTCGAGATGCCAAACTGGATTTGTTGGCCCTGAAAAAAAGCAACTGGTGAGTCAAACGCTTTGACTTCGAGAAGAATGATCAAACAAGAAATGATCTAAATTTGTACCAGTCTTACCCACTAAACCTCCGATCCAGCTCCACTGCGCCGGGCACTCCCTACCAGCAGATCGCTCCCGTTTACAATGAGTAATGAATGAATGCCCGACCGTATCTGGGTCAACAATTGTAAAATCGCTTTTTTCAAAGGAATGAATGATAGCTGACTCGAGCTCTGCAGAGACCTTTTGGGCAAGGAACTTGTCGGATAAGTTCATATTCATTGCGATCGCCAATGGCTCGGTGACATGATATCTTTCTAGAAGATTCCTTGCAACCTCTATAGACACAAACCAGCCGTTAAAGGGTGCCGCACTATATTTGATACCCCCCAAATTCATCATAAAATTGCTTATGGCTGGCACTGCAGCCCACTTGTATCCAAGATCCTTTACTTCAGGAAATTCCGGGTGTTCTAAATGAACTTCGTGGGTAACGCTTTTTGGGAGCTGATATATGAAGGGAATATCATTGCCCGGAATTTTAAGCACGAGAGGCAAAATATCGAACGCAGTACGCCTTTCAGGTGGTGTCCAGAGCTTTTTTTCAATTAAATAGGAGGTCAAGTCAACACATGCAGGATCGCCCATTATTTCTTCCGAGTCCCTATCTTTGTATCCACAATAACGAATAAATTGAGAACTCCAGAATCTTGTTCCGAACAGCTCGTTATGTCGCTGTGGCCTGAACACTGTCATCACGCTTTGGATGCTCGCTCCGCCGGTGGCCAACTTCATATGCTCGCAAACCTCATTAAAAATCTCACTTGGCTGTGTGCAATGTCGACGGTCACGAACGACTAGGGTGTTCCATGCAATCCTTTTTGGATATGGATGGAAATACCGGGATGAGATGAATTCTCGTTCGCTATGAAATATCGACAAAATTTAGATTATGTGCTTACCTTCCGATGCATTTTGCACTGTTTCTCCACGCGAGCCTAGCGCCGATTTCGAGTTCTTCCTGTGTGTGGGTGTATTCGCCGGTCGCAAGGATTTCCATATTAACCTCAAACAATCTGTTCTGTTTCGTTGAGGTTGACCACTTGAGCTCTGCCGCTACGTCGTTGTAGAATTTCAAAGCTTCCGCTTGCAAATTTTGTTGCAACAGAATTGGATGGAGAACAAACTGTATTGAATGTTTCCATAAGAATGCAAATGCATTTCGAAGCTTCTCTTTCGAGTGATTGACACTGTCACCAAAGATAGTTTCCATTCCCTCTAGGATTTCTCTCCCGATAAGATAGACGACGTGAGTGGACAAGCCAAGCTCTACCCACTTCATGCTTTGCTCTCGTAGAATCTTCCGTAGGTTGGATTGTGGGTTGGCCAGATCTCTGCCTGAGCCTTGAACAAGTACATAAATCCTGGAGCAGAAATTGAAAAGTCAGATTATCGTTAACTATTCGAATCAAAAGAAACAAGCTCTATTGTAAAACGTACATTTCGAACAATCCATAGGACATATCTTCGACATCATTTTCGCAGAAATGATCTTTGATTTCTGGGAAGGTTTCAAATAGCTTCTTGAACATTTCTACTCCAATCGTATCAAATTTATTGCCCAAGCGATCATTGGAGATGCAAACCTTCAGTTCTTCGAATACTCCTTTTCTCATGTAGTTTGCTCTTCGAAGGTTGACTTCAAGTATTGGCAGAATAATCATGCCGGTAAAAAATCTTGCGTGGACACTGTCTGCTGGATCTCTGTCCAAATCGTCTTTCTCATCATCGATGCAGTACGGATTTTGCGACTTCATTGCCCATAGGAATGCCCTACATAAAGTGAGCCAGTGATGCGGCTTCACCCAGTATCGTGCAAACAGGAAGCAGAAGTCTTCAAAAGTAGTGCAGTCTTTTCTATGGAAGAATACTTGGGAAATATCTGGGTCTGAGTCTGCAGAACCATCAATTGGACGATATGATTCTCGTTGAATTGTCTGGCTATGCGGACAAAGACCTCGCACTGCAGTATCAATCATGGATACAACCAAAACTTGTAAGTCGGCAGTTCTGGTTTCGAAGCATTTGGCGATTGGGTCATTGTTGCTTTCAATCAGATTAAGAGCCTGCACATCAGGCGAAAATCCTACCTGCCAAAGTTGCTGGTGAAACGAAGGAAAATGGCGACGCGAGTTTGGAACCACGGGATTTTTCTCCCTCAATGCCTGCTCCTCAATGTACTCAACAGATGCAAGAAGCCTCCAACGGCTGATCAAGGCCTCAGCGAACATAGATCGAAATGCAAGAACCTTGTTCCAAGACTGTGATATCAAGACGGCGTGATGTTTTTGTTCGAGAGGCACTTTACTCAAAGGTGCACCGTACATCGCAGGTTCCATGGTGAAGGATCCTTTGATACCCCAGCCTTCATTGATTTTTTCAAGCACATCTTCGGTGCTAGCGACAAGACTTTCGTAAAAGTGCTTTTTATCTCCGAAGTCTCCTCTTTCGCTATCACGTTTGAGTATCATCCTTTTACTATGCATGCTTGTGTTGAGACTCTGCTCAGTAGGAGGTGAACTTTCAGATCTGCCGTGACGGCTTTCAACATTGCGAACATCCAAATAGGATGCGGTAAGAGCCTCTTCAATAGCTTTTTCTTTGAGATGTCCGAGATCAGATTCTGTGGATTCAACCGATGAGCAAGTTGATTTGATGGAGGATTGTGAATTCGAGGATGATCTCTGAGGTGTCGAAGCATCTCTTTGGGATCGATAGTTAGAGGTCATTACTCTTCTGGAAAATTCCAACGAGGATTCACTCCTTTCCATCCTAGAGGTCACAGTGTGAGTTGGCCATAAATCAGTTCTGTTACAGGTCTCTTCGTTGTCGGCTTCATCTTTTTTGTGTTCAGGTTGATGGTGTATTACTTGGTTCAAGGTGTCACCACCGCAACAATGTTTGCTGAAAATTCCCATCCTACTTGATGTTGTGGAATAAAATCTGAATCCAAATGATTCGCCCCTATTCGAAATCTTGAGACAGTAGCAGTTCAGTGAGAAACCAGTGCGGGCAGCTATTATCTACCAAACATTCAAACCAGCATTAACGTCCTATTTTCTGGTATCATCCCGATCAGGTTCTGCGTGACCAAATATCGGTTCTTTTCTTCTGCGAAAATGCATCTCACAGTGTAAAAATGAGACCGGCCGGCTCGAAAAAATATGTAAATTACATATTTTTTATTTGGAATCCTTGACTTAACCATATCCAGTCTCGTTTAGTGAAAATCCCAAAGTTCCTGCCACTTTGGAATTTTGTGAAATTGCATGCAATTTATACAGGATTCCAMATTCCGAAAATGGGGGGAAAATATGTAAGTTGAGCTGTCTGTCTGTGTCTTCTGTACCACTGAAACGTATTCCCGAAAACATACCTCGAAATATGTTATCGGGAATGACCCATTATTTCACAATTCACAATTCTTTAGCAACCACGTATCGGTTTATTATTCTGCGAAAATGCATCTCATATTGTAGCATTTATTGTTCTTCACAATTCTTCACAATTGAGGTGTGGTATTCATTTTACTGTAGGTCTAGAACATTAAACAAAAAATTTCAAACGGTCAAATACTTTAGCCATGAATTCTGTCATCTTGTACCGAACGGTAATTTAATTTAAATAATTGAATTAAGCTTCAATTAGAAAGGGTGGCAGGAATAATTAAGAATAGAAAGAGCGAAAATAAATCGTCCATACTGCTAAGCCTTTCGTAACAATTGAATACTACGCGTTTCATAACAATTGAAATCGGCAGAACCTGGTACATGATGTACGAGCAAAAGTTCATAACTTCAAATTGAAGTTAAGAACTTGAAATTATTACTTTTTGCTCTCTTTCGAGGCCGATTTCAATTGTTATGAAACGCGTAGTATGGTCGCAAAATATAGCAAAAAGTAATAATGGGTCATTCCCGATAGTCTAGATGGTCTAAAATTCTAAATGGTCTAGTTTAGACTTTTTAGTTTAACGGGAATCATTAAAAACAGGGTCCCAACGGACAGTTCTTTAGGCCCTCTTCTACTTTAATGGAATCCGGAATCTCAACAGAAATGACTAAAACTAGAAAAGCGCACACACAAAGAGGGGGGGGCTTACAGAAAGTCTAAAAATTGAGACTATATGGTCTATTTTTGGTCTGTCTGTCTATCAATATTTAGACTTTCTAGACTAACGGGAATGACCCAATTTCAAGTTCTCAACTTTGATTTGAAGTTATGAACTTCAGAATGTCCTGGTAGAAAGTCTACTAGATTCTACTGAGCTAGTTTTTGGATGGCATTCATGATTGAAAGGCCGGATTCATGATTGAATCACCTCAAACCATTTTTAATCGCCCTGAACCATTTTTGTTTTGTTATGATTTGGTCAATCAGTCATATTAAAAAACTAGCTCAGTAGAACCTGGTACATGATGTATGAGCAAAAGTTCATAATTTCAAATCGAAGTTTAGAACTTGAAATTATTACTTTTTGCTCTACTAGATTTTGCAACTGTATTCAATTGTTAGAAAATGCATAGTATTTGATGTTGAATGGTTGCACAGTACTATGCRTTTGTTAACAATTGAATATGCACGGTTGCCCCAGAGAGCAAAAAGTAATAATTTCAACTTAAAAACTTTTATTTGAAGTTATGAACTTTTGCTCGTACATCATCATGTACCAGGTTCTACTGAGCTAGTTTATTAAAATGACTGCTGAATGGCCAAATCGATTCCTGGGGCCCCTCAAAACAAAAAAAAGGTTCTGAGGTGATTCAATCATGATTCCGGCCTTTCAATCATGAATGCCATCCAAAAACTAGCTCAGTAGAACCTTGTAGACTTTCTACCAGGACATTTGAAGTTCATAACTCCAAATAGAAGTTTAGAACTTGAAATTATTACTTTTTGCTCTCTGGGGTGACTGTATTCAATTGTTACAAAACGCGTAGTATACATAGTTGATGAGCTGATGTAAGTCTATTTGTTGCTCATAACATGCAAAGTATACTGGTACATAGGCTCCTTAGTGTCACATAAAGGGATATTTACATTAAAGAGTGAGATTAAGCCTATTGCTCACTCACTATCTACTCGTGATTTACGTGTTGCTGGCTCACAGAGGGTATGACAATGAAATGCATCTAATTTTGCAACAGCAGGAAATCACGTACAATTCTACGTACGTGTACATTGTGTTGATTCCTACTGCCATCTACCATGCCTGTAGTAAAGCAAAAAATACAGGAAGTCTATTGAACAATTACTTACATCATCAAGCATAAGGCAATTTCCATACCAAATAGACATATAACAAGGACAACCCTGCTGGGTGACCCCAAAAGGACCATGTTAGGATCATGAAATTTTCCATTTTCTCCAAGAAAAACTGTTTACCTAGTGACCAATGAGCAAAGTAATGACCAGGGGGTTGCATTGTTGTTGTTCTTGCATTGTTGTTTTTAATGTATATTCAACAGCTGAGAATGCACCTCAAAGGCTACTGAATACGACCTCTATTACAATGCTGTATACTGGTTTCCTTCATTAATAACCACACAAAAAAGTCATTACAGTTGAACAAGAAAGAGTTGTATGACTTACGGTATGTGGGTATTTTGGGTCATACACCTATTTAGTAGGAATTTTTGTGGCCGTTGAGGCAATGGTGAGAATGCAATATTAGTTGCAAAATACCAGTACCATAATGGTAGGTACTCGTATTCTCAATCCTCAAGAATAAATTGGCAATTAATATTCTACATCCTCCAGAATCAATTGTCAATAAATTATTCTTGAACTAATAGTAGTGAAGTTTCAAGTTGTAATACTCTGGCTCCACTATTCTTCATGCATGTGCCCATAGATAGTGCCTCTACTTTGTATAGCTCCTATGTAAAATATCTGAAACCAAAAAATTCTTTGTGTCACCCACTGTTGAAATTCTATTTTTGAATCAAACTAGTCAAAACAGAAAATTTGTGTTATCTTCACTCCTGGGAACACCTGTTGTTAGCCAATCAGATTGCTTGGTGATTATTACCAAATATTGCTTTATCCCAAACTCTAAGAAAATGCAAAAAATCCCCTTTTCTTGCATTTTGAAGAGATGTTGGGGGGAAGCAAGAGTAGTACTAGTAGTAAAGGAAAAAACTGAGGGGTGTATTATTTGTTGGGCTAGCTGCCTAGTACTAGTCATTAGTATGCTGCTGGTGGTACCACCAAAATTAATCTTGCACCATATCACTGTCTACTATTGGTGCTTTTAAAAATAACATACTAGTAGTTATTGCACCAGTTCTTTTAGTACTACGGACATACCTATTTGCACTGATACAACAAAAAGAAGTAATGTTCTTTCATTGAGACTTATTATTATACTACTGGTACACAACTTAACTACTACATTCTAGAGCTATGGTACTTATGAGTTAGTAGTAGGACTATCAGATATGAGAGCAGCAACAATCATGCTCTTTGTTCCACTGTTGACTATTCTTTGTACCACATGGCAAACTCTTGATTATTTCCTGCTACTACTTAGTAGCGACATCCTCCTCCTTTTCTCCTTCTTATCCAAAATGTTCCTCTCTTCTTTCCCAATCCACAACCCTGAACATTTTTCTTGGTGCTCTCACTGCTAGGGAACTTTAAGAAAAGCTCATCTGTATTTTTCAACTTCTATTATTAGAAATGGTTACTAATAGTGCTTACTAGTAGTAGTACTAGCTTGGTGAGGAACTTTCAATATTTCAGGTTGCAAGCCAAAAGAGCCATTAACTCAACTGTAATAAAGTAAAGGGAATTCTTTGCCAAAATTTAAAAGAATTGTGCAGTACCAGGTAAATACCTTGAAGTCGCTCATTCTAACTCCAGTCCTTGTTTTGCTCTCCTTTGCAGCCATTTTATGGCGTTTTACCGATCAAATATAGTACCTCTTTATATGAATTCTTTCTGGTTACTGCTGCTGCTGCTGCTTCTCTCATCTTCGCGATACAACCTATCACTGGGTGATCAATCACTGGGCAACTAGTAATATATCAGTGTGGCATTTATTATTTATGAATTAGTTATGAACCGAAAGAAATGCTCTACCTCTGACAAGTAGCTGGCAGGATCAATGGACACTACTGTTCACCATTTGCGATTGTCCGATCAACCAGTATCCATTCATTCATTCATTGATCCCATTCTCATTCAAGTAGTTTATGGATACTGCCCAAATTCTCATAGGTTTGCCGAGTCCGATCGACTCACACAACGGCAAGATTGGCCAAAAAGCAGAGGGTTCCTTTTCCTCTGCGTTCCGTTCCGCTTTGCGGTGTTGGTCGTTTCGCTTCGTTTAGCACGAAAAGCCGGGTGGGGCCACCGCATCATCCGCGATCCATTCCCGCAGGCCGACCCCCGGGAGATATCTGTAGTCGAAGGTTCCGCCGTTGCTGCCCACGCCCGCGGCCGACGCCGCGGCCCTGCGGTAGAACCGCGCCGCCAGGAGGTCGTGCGAAAAGCTCGAGACCTCCGTCCCGACAAAGAGGTCCGCTCCGAGGCCGAGAAAGTAGTTGAGGATCGCCCCCGAGGTAGACGGCCGGTGCTCGTAGACGGTTCCCTCCAGGGCCGCCGATCCAAACTCGACCACCGGGACCCGTCCGCCCCACATCCCGGTGGTAGCGGTTTCGTTGGCACCCCTGTCGTAGCTCGGGTGGTTGGTGAGGCGGTTGAGCTCCCGCAGGTTGTCGACAGCGATTTGGTTGGTGGGCTCGCCGGAACCGCTCCCCGGGGGCGTTCCCTCCTTTTCCAGGTACTCTCGGTTGATGGGGAGAAAGACCACTCCCACCGGTGGCACCCTCCACTTCGATTCGACCATGGCCACGATGTCCCGCAAGGACAGGACCTTTTTCTCGATGCACACGGGGTGTTTCTGCATGTCCGGTTCGACCCGGGCGTGGAGCGTCATGTACCTTGAGTTTTGTCCACCGCTGCTGCTCGCCAGCGCGGCTACCTCCAGCTGTCTCCTGGACCGATCCACGACGGCCTGGAGGGCCGGGTGGGGCCGCAGGGCCCCCTCCAGCATGAGAATCTCGGCCGGGTTTCTCGGCGGGGTGGCGTCCCTGTTCGTGCCCGTGGCTTGGTTTGGCGGCACAAATTTCCCGTTTCCCCTTGCATAGAGCATGTAGCGCGCCGCCAGCCGGGTCGATCCTTTCGTGTACCCGTATGGCCTCGTAGCGTCCCCGGGCTTGCCGTTTCGAACCGAGGGCAGGTAGTTGGCGGTGGTGGGATCCCACTGGTCGTGCTCGACCGGATCGTAGAGGATCAACCGGGGTAGGCAGCGCCGGTAGGCGTTGTCGCGGCTGTCGCCACCGCAAGCGTGCCGGTTCCAGGCCTCCACGTCGAAGTAAAAGTCAAAGGGATCGAAGATTTCCGTCCCGTAGGTGTCCTTGTGCCAGAGGCTGTCCAGGAGGAGGTTCCCGTGGCCCTCGTGGTTGGCCTGGAGGACCAACACGGTCAGAGCCATGATCTGGTTCCGGTAGCCGGCGATAAAGCCAAAGCGCTTCGATKGGCAAAAGGCGAGCGTGGTTGTGTTTGCGTTTGCGTTTGTGTTTGTGTTTTCAATTTTGCGCCTGGTGTTCTCTATCCTGCGCAAGTGCTCGCGGTGCAGTTTCCGGAACTCGTCTACATCGGTCGTCCCGTAGCTGTGGGTCACCAGGGATGACATAGTCTCGTTGTTGTTTTTGCCGCCGTTCTTGTTGTTGGATCCGTCGTGGACCCGTTCCTCGTTCGATGGTTCCTGTTTCCACACCCGGTGATGGCCACCGTGTGGGTTTTCGGTTTCGTTTGTCTCTGTCCTAAAGAGAGCTTGTCGCGTGCTGTAGGCCGTGCCTTCGTGATGGTTTTGGATTTTCGTTGTGTCCTTCGGCTTTGCCAAAAAGGCGATGTGCACGAAGACATGCACCACCTGAAAGGATCCAACGACCAAAATCAACGCCAGGATGCAAGCATTCGAACGCTTTCGTCTCCGTGTGCTCTTCTTGGTTCGTTGCGGTCGGAGCTGTTGTTGATGATGATGTTGTTGTTGTTGTTGTTGTTGTTGATGATGTTGTTGTTGCTGTTGCTGCTGCTGCTGCTGCTGCTGCTTCTGCAGTTGGATCGCCATGTCACCTTCCCGCAATGCGCAAGAATACCGCAATGCGATCAGATACGATGCGATGCCTCTCCAATCTTTTTCTCGAACCGATGCCGTTCCCGTCCGATCGATACGTATGGCACAAGAACTCCTGGGATCAACCGCGATACCATCAACCGTGTTTGTTCTCTGGGTTACACGACTTTTGAACAACTTTCACCCGTGGCAATGGCTGGCTCTTCAATAGGTCTTCGTGCGAGATGAAAAAGCAGTTGAGAAGGATTAGTTTCAAAGCAAATACTGTACGTACCGATAGTTAAAATGGTTACAGTAGAGATCTCTGACATGGAACAATAGTACTACTAGTAGTCCTTTCTAGTCTAATTGGCCAGGACTTCAGCTGCTGGTGGATGAGAGAAGCAAAACATTTGCTGTTGATCAGTTTATCATCTTCTTTAGCAGTACTCCTAGTGCTACAGGGGGTTGAAAAATAGATAAGGCAGCAAAAAGTGGTTGGGGGTTCTTGAGAACAAGAAGAAGAGCAAGAACAACAAGCAACAAGAAGAACAACAAGAACTGCTAGTTTGAGAAAGTTCTCCATCATGATATTACTAGTACTAGTACTACTACTATTATGTGATTTAGCTACTAGTACTACACTACTACTACTACTACTACTACTACTACTACTACTACTACTACTATCATGAGATGAAAGAATGTCAATTTTTGTGTCATATTTCTCAGTCTGGTGGTGGCTAGACACCTTTACTATGAATAACCATTTGGGAACAGATAATAAGGTCAAAGATATTTATTACTGTATTCAAAAGGCAGTATCTTCGTCCTCCTACTCCTCATTCTGATGGTCAATGCCCGACAAGATGGGTGCAGCAAAAAGTATTTTCTTAACTGCTCCTCGTTGTCTTTCTCTACCCACTCACAGAATGTTTAGAAAGGATCAAACAAAAAGGGCAGGTTACTTCCACAATTGTAATCACAATGGATCAAACTTGGAGTAGGATTTTCTGAATTTTCTGACGAATGCTCTCTCGAGGTAAATACGTAGCGGCAATCCTAGATCTGACTCCAACGGTACTAGGCTCTGACTCAAGCATGGTTTTTCCAACCGCAAAACGCGACACCGGTTCACATCGCAGCAAAGACTGCGCGGGCCGCTTTGTTGGGGAGAAAGCAGCAGGGAAAAGACTCGAACAGTGCATGTTTTGGAATTGATGGAACTGCGCCCCACCTCATATTTCACGTTCTTTCCACCAGGTGCAAAAATAGACTCAAGCACCTGGAGAGAAACCAACCAGCAAGTCAGCGCGTTGGTGATCGGTGGAAAAAACATGAGGTTTTGCTTTCCATTACTTCTTTTGTTGCAACGACATCAAAACCTCTGATACGGCTAGTTCCTCGGAAATCCTACTAGCTTGCTCTGTGTTATGAAAGGATGGCTTTCTGTGCGTGGCGCTGTTGGCTAGAGAAGACAAGCCTTGTGGAATTCTTCCCGTAGCGTCGCCGATGCCAGCGTCTTTTTTCCTATAGTCATCGCCTCCCAATCGGATCTCGCTTGATTCCACTTCTGGATATTGAGGCCAACCTCGATTCAGTGGAGTTTGAGCTTCGCCAATTTTCTCCCCCTGTTTTTTCTTCACTACATACGAAATATCCCGGAACAACTGGCTTGTTTTCATGGTTGCCGTCTTGTCATCCATGTCCATGTATTTCCCCGTTCGGTCGTCCCTCTTCAAAAAGCGCCCGCCATAGGCACGCACCTGGCGCACAATGCTTTCGGCTATAGTTCGTTTCTCATGGCGCTGGCTCGAAAAATAGGCCCCAGCCTGCATGTTGGTCAGCGCTTTCCACTTTTTGTTGCCGTGGTGGTGATTCCCGTGTGCTCCCCTTCCACAGAGTACATCATTCGTGCGAGGCTTTTCGATATAGAAAGGTGATCTTGATTCATCCCCGGGTGCTTCGCYTTGGTTCGCTTGTGAAGCCTTCGGAGGAGTGGCCAGTGCCTGAGKGATGCTATTAGGTTTTTTCGATTTCAATCGTTCATCGTCGTGTTTTGAATCGGTTAATTCCATGCCCAATGATCTTCCTTCCTGTTCTCTTTCTGCTTTTGAATCTCGGTACAAGTCTCGAAACAGCTGACTTGTCTTGATTCTCGCCGTGTCGTCGCCCACGTCATTGTACTTGCCAGAGACCGAATCCTTCAGCAAAAATCTTCCCCCGCGCTTTCTAACCTCGTCCACAATGTAACGAGCCGTGACGGCCTTTTCAAAGCGCTTGCCATTGTGGTATTTATTTTGGCATTCTTTAACTAAGTCCTTGTAAAGCTTGTTCCCATGGTGCTGGTTCCCTTGCGCTCCCTTCCCAGACAAAACGTCGTGTTCGTTTATCTCAGTCTTATCGATTCCAAACAGCTTCCTAGTTCTATTCATTGAATTTGGTTGATTATGAAAGTGTTGAAAGTGTTGTAGCGCAGCCAAACCTTGTTCGCTGCACATCGTATTATCGTTTTCCTTCTTTATTTTCGCGTGTTCTGCCATGGATTCGGACGTTGCGGATTGTGCAGAGAACCCAGTTTTGTRATCGACCTCTCGGTTCTTTGCAGTATCTCGAAACAGCTGGCTTGTCTTTTTTATCGCACATTTATCGCCCACGTCGTCGTACTTGTCTGTGTCCATATTCTTCTGTAGGAATCGTCCCCCTTTGGACCTCACCTCTCGCACAATATCCTGTGCGATCAGGGCCTTTTCAAAACGCTTGCAACTGTAGTATTCATTTTGGCGTCTCTTCACCATCTCTTTGTACAGTTTGTTTCCAGTATGGTGATTGCCGTGTGCCCCCTTCCCTGATAGAACATCGTGATCGTTGATTTCACCCTTGCCAATGTCACGTATTTGCCGGGGCTTGACGATCTCATCATCGCTCTCTCCCTGTTTAGTAACACTTGGAGAGGTATTGGCCATTGACTCTTTCTTTTCGTAATCGTGTGGTTGTTTTATTCTCCTACCCAAATCATATATTTCTGCTGATGTTTCYGTGAACGATTGACTACCAGTTTCTCCTTTTACTTTCAAACGTAAATCGTTTGCCTGTTGTTCTGTGGCTATCATGGACGCAGCCGATACTTTAGCGTTATTGCTACATGTTTGGCAATCTTCCATCCTTTGCTTTTTGAATTCTCTGCCTTGTATGCTCTTGTCGCCGTACTTTTCATCGATTCCATTTTGCAAGTCAACGGCTGACTGCTGCTGAATTCTTTTTCTTTTCAAAAAGACGCCATTCCGGTAAAAGGCATACTTTCCGATTTCCTTAACCATAGGAGGGATGGCAATGGTGCAACTTGTATCACGAAATGCAGAGCTTCCGATCTTTTCGAGTTGACAATTCTCCAACGCGAACTTGACATCCGTGAGCTGGCGGCACTGATAAAAAGCATGCTTTCCGATCTCTCTCACAGTGGCAGGGATTTCAATTGCAGAAATTGATGATTCCGAAAAAGAAAAATCGCCAATGGTCGTCAGTTGACAATTGCCAGGCTCGAATCGCACTGTTTCTAGCCGTGAGCAATTTGCAAAGGCGCCGTATTCGATTGCTTTCACCGACCACGGGATTGTGATGGTGGAAATAGGTGTTTCGAAGAACACTTCATGCTCTATCTTCTCCATCTGGCCGTTCTTTGCGAAGTCGACGTTGGTTAGTTTATGACACTTGTAAAAGGCACGAAGCGTGATTTCTTTTACCGAAAAAGGGATCATAATGGCGCAAATCGAAGTCTCGGAAAATGCTTCGTTTTGAATCTCCTCGAGTCGACAGTTGGCATCTGTAAAGTCTACTCTGACTAGCTCACGACACTTGTGAAACGCACGGCATCCAATCTTTTCCACCGAACTAGGAATTTCAATTGTGGAAATAGGAGCGTGAGAAAAAGCGCAATCCCCGATTATCTCAAGTCGACACTTTACACCGTGGTCAAAGGTAACACTGACGAGTCTCATGCAATCATAAAACGCCTCGTATCCAATTGTTTCTACCGAAGAAGGGATTACGACGTAAGAAAGGGATGTACCACAAAATGCACGGTCGCCAATTTTCCTTAGCCGGCAATCGTCCGTCCCAAAGCCGACCTTGTGCAACTTCGCGCAATCACAAAAGGCTTCGTTTCCAACTTCTTTCACTGATGCAGGAATTTCAATCGATGCAATCGACGTTTGTTGAAAAGCACATTTCTCAATGGCCTTGACCGCACAACCTTCGGCGAAAGCGACTTCGAAAAGTTCGTTGCAATCCAAAAATGCATTTTCCGGAATCTTTTCGACCGAAGCATCAATTAAAATTCTTTTTGCCATCCTTGCATTACGGTGATTCGTATCCCCAACCCTACCATAGTAGATGACAGGATGGAGAAACGAAACCGAATTGGATGATTTAGGTCCCACCTCATGGCAGTTTTCAAGTTCTTTTTCCACATCCACTGATTGTATTCTTTTTGCTTGGATCTCCTGTGGTAGCTCCACTTCTCGTTCCTTCCTCTTCTTTTCTCTTTCTGTGTCCTTCACTTCTCTTGTATTGGAAAAATATAATGGATTTTCTTTTGGTCTGAYCCCCATGTTTTGTCTCGCGTCTGCTTCCGTCAAACAGAGTCTAAAACACTGCAATGTCGCACCCATAGCTCGTTCGTCTCCCACGTCAGAGTATTTTTGGCAAATATCATCGTTCTGAACTAAAAATCGCCCGCCTAGACCTCGTACCTGCTTTACTATTTCCAGGGCTATCCTTAACTCCTTCTCACTTTGGCCATTATTTTCCGTTAGACCTTCATCGCTCAAGCGAAAGTCTTGAACGCATTCCTTAACCATCTCCTTCCATTTTTTGTTACCCGCGGTGTTAAAGATGGAAGTCTCATAGCTACCTGCTCCAATCTCTACTAAAATCACATCGTTCTCCGTCGTCCCATTCTCATAGCTTCCTCTTGTATCATGAATTTTTGTTTCACAATGTTTTTGGTCAACGCTTACGGGTTCTTGATTGTGTTGCTGTTCGCCGCCCCAGCCGCACGGGTCCGCTGCCATCCCCTCGCTAGATGGAACTCTTGATGATATAGGTGGACAAGGAGTTGATTTCGGTCCATCCCCGCTGCTTGGCTCGGAGTCTCCTTCCGTTTCCACTCGTGGTACCTTGTTGCTGGCATGGTTCTGTTCGACCAATTGTTGTTTTGTATCCGCGGGTGAACTAATCGCCGTGCCTTCTTTTTGGTTGATCGATACTTGTCCATTATTTGGTGAAGAACTATCCGCAACTACTTTCGATGTTCCCCGTTGGGCTGTCGATTCATCGATCCCGTTGGCTCGGGGTGGCTGCTTAGGCAAAACCGTTGGCGACGGTTCCGTTTCCAGGACGCATTTTTCTTCTTTGATACTTGCATGTCCGTCATTTGCAAACATCACCGTGTCTTTCGAACTATGCGTTACACTGTGTTGGTCACCATTGCTCTGAAGATTTTTGTTGTCGGTCCTTCCAATAACAGCGGGAAGCTCAGGTGGTTCTGTTTGGTTGTTGTGGCTACTTGGAGACACTAGTGTTTTTGCATCGCCGCCGATCCCTCCCGCATTGGGCGAGGGGGCTTTTTCTTCGTAAGTGCTTTGCATTTATGGGAGTGTCTGTAGAACTTCTCAGATGTTATAGATTAGTAGTCGATGGTAATGTCCCCGTGCCCTTATTTGGAGGTAGTAGGTCTTGTGGTGTTGCGTTGCTGGTTGCGGTGCCATCCTTACAGTACTTAATTTAGCCTAAATTAATTTCACAAGTTATTACTCGTACTACCACACGCTTGCAGCTTGCGATTCGGTCGTGTCAGGTCGATAACGACGGTACGAATACGATGCCCTTACATAGTACGACGTACTCGTACTTGTACGTGTACGATCCATTTTTGGTRCACAATTTACAATTTACGATAAGAACCGTACAARAACATGAGGTAGGTAAGAGGAACGATACGGATGGTTACAACATGACTCAAAAGATAAAAGCTACCCAAGTACGTAATGTGTACTGTACAGTACTACGTTTTGAACCACGCAAGAGTTTGCTTTCTATGACCCGTCTCACCTCATCCAACGCACGATAGATCTCGATGAAAACTACGTACTGTCGGCTACGTGCGATTCTACGACACTGTACCTCATGGCTGCCTCATGGTACGAACGGGGAATGTACGTAAGGAACTCTACGAACCTCGACGTTAAAAACGCAAAAAATATTACGAGCAACGGGATAATAGGACTAGATGACTGTAGAGAAGCAATAACTCGTGTTTTCTCGAAAATTGCGCGCACGAGCCGGAAAAGCAACGAGTACGGTATGTAATGAGAGGTCATAAATTTAGAGGKTGCGCAACGCATCGAAAACTCAAAATTTTTGTGTGGTGTCTAAATTTCTCTGAAGTCCCCCAAGGATATTTTTTCATCACCTTTTTAGTATGTGTAAAATAACAATTGAAACTGTGTTAATTAAGGCATTGGGAACGTTAATTTAACATTTTGTATGTTAGCGGTAACATTCCGAATGTCAAGTTAACACTCCGTAAGTTAGGGATGTACCCCTAAGTAGTAGAATCTGTACTAGACCCAATGGGGGGCAGGCCCGCAGGCCCAGCACCAGCAGCTCCTGTTCAGCATCTTGCAAGATGCAACCAACGAGATAGGTCTTTTGGACATCTGTAGTACAAAAGCTGTGTAGAAATTCCTGTAGAATACCATGGATCAAGGTAGTTGACTGAAGATTTTGGTCAAATAGAAGGGTTTTGATTCCGTGTTCAAAATCATACTGCAGCCTAGTACTACTAGTACTGTGGCCTGCCTAAAAACTTCCCTCCAGCACATTGCTTGCTAATCTAGTAAACTGTTCTTTCATTCAATCAAAAAACTTGTTACAGAGGCAACTGACCATGGGAATTGGTCTATTTTAGGCACTTCCACTCACTCTTTCTTAATGTACTTCTTGGTATCAATCAATAGCTCTCTTCAATTGTCAATTTGACAACAAGCTTTGAACTGTAGCAAAGGACCCAGTAGAAGTACTTATTTTGTTTGATTAGTGTAGCTTCTTTTTTAAGACAACAGCTTCTTTTTTGCCATCTGCAACCAGCAGTATGAGCAACGGTCCAGCAGATAGGTCTATCTGTGATCACTTCCTCTCCATCATGCCTGTTGATGATTTAGTAGATGCAGTTGAGGAAAGCACAACTTGAGGGTGGAAAAGGAGCATGATATTGCTGTAGCAGCCCATGATGAAGCAAGCAGGGATAAGAAGGGACATCCTAGGCTCAAGGGCATACTGGATGTAAGGATGGCGTGCTACTGCTGCAAGTTTGACTGTAACCTCAATCCAAGGGGGGGGGGGGGGCTTGTCCTGAGTGTAGCAAGCCAGGCACTGACTATCTTGAGTATGATCCACAGACAGGATCACCAGTGACTTGCTGGTGTCCCCTTTGCAACTGCCAGTGTTCCATCAATTTCTATCTAACTGACAGATGGAATATTGATAAGAATGAAGAAAGGCTTAGAAGTGGTCCCCAGCCAGAGGAGGAACAGTACTCCTCAGGCAATTCCCTGGGGAAGCTACAGGACTTGCTGTCTAAACACCTCCATTGTGGAACCTTTAATGCGCAGCTGATGAATTGCAAGCCTTTGGGAAGTGCTCAGTTTGAGCAAGACGCTTATGGACATGCAGCTGATTACACTAAGACTGACATTCACTTGCAGTCTAGTAATGTGGCCTTGAGGAATAGTATTGAAAAGCTTGTTCCAAGGGGAACTAGAACTAAGATTGATCATCTACCCATTACTAACCATCTTAGAAATGGTATTATTCCAGAAAGGAGGGGACCAGTTGTGGCTCAGCAGAGGGGACAAGGCGTTCCTCAGCAGCAGCAGCCCAAACAGCAGCAGCGCCAGCAGTCCATTTGCCAGCAGTCCATTTGGGCCCCTTTCCAGGAGCCTCGTCCAGTCTCTTTTTCGGCTTGTGACAGACGCAACACTCGCCATTACAGCAATATACAGTGATAGGGGGCACAGGAATGAATGATCTTGGTGGGGGCAGGGGGCTAGCTAGATTGCCAGCAAAGTATGATGCTCTTTTGTCTAGGCTGAGGGCTGCTGCTGGCCAGGATACTGAGGTTCCTGAGTAAATGATTGATATTGCTGCTGATAGTAGTAGCAGTAGGGAGGAGGAGGATTATACTCCTGTTGGTGCAAGGAATATGATCCATCCTTGTTGTATTCCCTATATTGATGATGAGACCCTTCCCTTTCATGTACAGCTGAGACAACAAACCCTCTTGTGTTTGACTGTTCCTGGTGTGGAAGACACCCCTTCCACTGGTTCTGTTTTAGATAGGATCAATACATTGCTTTCATCTTTCTCTGCTGGCGCTGGTGGTGATCTACAGGCTGTTGAACGATTGATGACTTGGATAGAGGATTTTAGGCATCTCTTTAATGGTGAGGTAGTGGCAACTATTGAGGGCTTGATTAAAACTTTGAAGAGGCATGCTGCCAGTGCAAGAATGCCAGCTGGTTGGATGCCGCCTGCTTGGTTGCCAGCTGCTCATATGCCGGCTGCTCAGTTGCCAGCTGCTTGGTTGCCAACCACTGGCGTTGCGCAGGTACCAGTAGCAGTAGCTGAATTGATGCTGGATGCTCAGATTGAAGCCCCTATTTGGTTCTTGCAATCAGCTGTGGATGCAAGGAAGGAGGCAGGGCTAAAGCCTCCTCCAGGCGCAGGGCAGAAGCCTCTTCCAGGTGCAGGGCACAAGAAGCCTCTTCCAGGTGCAGCAAAGAAGAAACCAAAATGAGTGGCAAGCAGAGTAGCAAAGATACCAACAAAGGAAGAAAAGAAAGCAGCAAAGAAAGCTGCCGCAGCTAAGGAAGCAGCAAAGAAAAGAAGATCAAAGGAGCTTTTTGAGCAGAGCTGAGCTAAGTATTTGAAGAAACAAGAGGAAGAACATGAGGCTGAGAGGAAGATGAAGAGGAGTGATGATAGTATGAGCAGCTTTGGTAATAGTGGTAGTGGGAGCACCAGTTCCTCTAGCAAAGTTAGTCAATATCAGACGCCATAAAGATGGACTAGATTCCAGACGCGCTAAACTGTAGACCCAGGATGAGTCTCGTGATCAGTAAGCTAGCTCTTGGGGTATTGCTCAAGTCTATTGCAACTACTCTTGGTAGCTATGATTCCTACTAAAGATAAACTGTATACAAATAGTACTGCTGTAGATAGTCAAGAGGGAAGGATCACAAGTGGGACCCATCACTCTTAAGCTTAAGTATGCTGGTCAATCAATTCAACCCTGACTGTTATTCAATTGATGTAGTCGATTCTCGTTTGTATATTGAGTATCCGTGGAAGAAGCTGCAAGCTGTTCCAGGGGACTGGATTCCAAGCCTATCCAGTAGGATTGAATTTTCATAGGCCCAGAAGGAGTCAACTCGCCAGCAGGCCAGTCACTAGGGGGTTCCTCCAGTCCATTACAGCTACCCCGTGAATCCAGCTCACTTGCTGGAGACCAACGCCGTGCTGTTGTTGATGTTGCTGTCGCCTAATCATCATAGTTTCCATCCAAACTGTATCCACAGTGATCAAAGGTAGCATCAACCCCTTTGATAGACCTACCAGCTTCCCTGTAGATGCCTGCTTCAAGATTGCTGGTAGTCCAATTAGGCTGCACCTCTCTAGATACTGCTGATACTAGATCACAGATCTTGAATTCAATGGACCCATACTTTGGCTGGTATGGAGGGCGTGGGATAGATCTGAATAGAGTTGGTTTAGGATCAGGTCTAATAGCAACCTTCAGACCCACCAATGTTAACAGATGAGAGCCAAGGTTGTCCCACAGGAAGATCCTCTCCTTATCAGTATCACCAGGGACTGGATTTGCCTCAATGTTTCCTTGCCAGTTCCTCTTGTCTAATGTGGGCATCATATCCTCAACTCCCTCCCTTAGAAGGGTGAGGCCTCTCAGCTCTTTCTTGTTGTGTTAGTCTTGAAAGCCCAGTGCTGGCTTGGAGCTTGGCAACCTCATCCACTGGATCCTTCCTGGTCATGTTGCTGTTTATTGCCAATGTCAAAGAAGCTACACTGAACACACAATAAAATCTGTTACACTTGCTTGTTTGCTACAGTTCAAGGCTTGTTAAATCGACAATTAAAGATAGCTATCCAGTGATACCACTTACATTAGAAAAGAAGTGCTTCAAACAGCCATTCCCATGGTCAGTTGCCCCTGTAATGAGTTTTTTGATTGAATGAAAAAGAACAGTTCAGTGTGCTGGATCAGCGTGCTGGAGGGAAGTTTTAGGTAAAGACACTAGGACCCAGTACAATTTTGAACGCACGATAAAAACCCTTCCATTTTGACCAAAATCTGCAGTCTCCCTTTGATCCACTATTTTCTACAGCATTTTGTGTATAGCTTTGTACTAGTAGGATCCATCCAAATAGACTGATCCTGGTCCTTGCTGAGCAGCTGGATCAGCAGCTGCTGACCTGCTGGCATGCTGCCAACAGGTACAGTACAAATCCTACGTAGGCGTACGTCCCTAACGTACAGAATGTTAACTTAGCACTTGGAATGTTACTGCTAGTAACATACAGAACATTAAATTAATGTTCCCAATGCCTTAATTAACGTAATTTGAATTGTTATTTTACGCGTAGTACTGCATCATAATGGGTCATTCCTGATATTATAAATGCCTTACTTTTGATAGACATCTGTAACAATTTGTATTACCTTTAATAGAGGCAAAACCAATGCCATCAAATGTAATAAATTTATGGAACTCACAATTCAAAATTTTGAGTCTGTTGAAAGATTCAACAGGGAGCCTGCCAGAATCATCAGACAACAGAACTTGACAAAACTAAGACCCAGCTAT